CCGCTGCCTCAGCCTCTGCGGCAGCTGGTGGAGCATGCTGATGACCACCTCACCCGTGGACAACGGTACGAATTGGCGGAGCTTCTGGGCACTAATAGTGACCTGTTTGCCATGCCTGGGGAACCGTTGGGACGCACCGACCGTGTGCGCCACACGATCGACACGGGAAGCCACTACCCCATCAAGCAGGCCCCGCGACGGTGCCCGCTGGGACGGCAACACGTCATGGACGAGGAGATCGACAAAATGTTGGCTGCCGGCGTCATCATCCCGAGTAGCAACCCGTGGGCGTCGCCAGTCGTCCTGGTGACCAAGAAGGATGACAGCACTCGGATTTACGTAGACTACAGGCGTTGGAATGACGCGACGCGAAAGGATGCGTATTCTCTACCTAGGATCGACGACACGCTAGATGGCCTCGCCGGTAGTCAATGGTTTTCTACGTTGGACCTCGCCTCGGGCTACTGGCAGGTCGAAATGCACCCCGAAGATAGGGAGAAGACAGGGATAAGAACAAGACGTGGCTTCTTTGACTTCTGAGTCATGCCGTTCGGCCTGGCCAACGTTCTGGCAACGTTTGAACGACGCATGGACCTCTTCCTCCGGGGGCTGCAGTGGGCTGAATGCCTGGTCGACTTCGATGACGTCATCGTCTTTGGACGAACGTTCGAGGAGGCGGCTGAGCACCTGCGAAATGTTTTCGCACGGTTGCGCGGGGCAGGACTTAAGTTGAAGCCATCGAAGTGTGAACTCTTCCAGACAAGCGTGTCCTTCTTCGGTCACGTGGTGTCCGCAAAAGGGGTGAGCTGTGCCCCGAAGAAACTGCAGGCTGTGAGGGTCTGTGCTTCCCCTACTGGCGTCACGGACGTCCAAAGCTTCCTGGGATTCGCCAACTATTACCGTCGCTTTATACCCAGCTTCGCCAACGTGGCTCGACCACTGACCGACCTTACACGAAAGGGGTTTCCTTTTCGATGGACGGAGAAGTGTGGAGAGGCTTTCACAGAATTGAAGGATAGGGTCACGTCCGCGCCGGTGCGCGCTTACCCCCAACGGGAGGGTGAGTTCGTTCTAGACACTGACGCCAGCGCCACCGCTATGGAAGCGGAGAAGGGAGAGGAACGTGTGATCGCCTACGCGAGTAAAGGGTTCGGCCCGGCTCAGCGTAGGTACTGTACTACGAACCGCGAACTCCTGGCAGTAGTAACGTTCGTACGGCAATTCCGCCACTACCTATGTGGCCGTCCCTTCCGAGTGCGCACCGACCATGCCTCCTTGACGTGGCTGCTCAACATGATTGGCCAGTGGATCGCCTTCTTGGGTACCTTCAACCTGACGATTGAACATCGACCCGGCAAGCAGCATGCTAACGCAGATGGACTCTTGGACAGGTGAGAGTGACGGCCGCCAATCCCGGCGGGCCGCCTGCGTCGCCGTTGGAGCGGTGGAGCGAAGAGCAATTAAGAGAATGGCAGCGAGGCGATGCGTTTATATGACGGATTGTTCAGCTGAAGACGAGCAACCAAGAACGGCAAGCGTACCAGGAGATAGCGGGCGAATCGCGAGACGGCAAGAGCTACTGGGGCATGTGGGAACACCTTGAAGTACGGCGAGGGCTGTTATACCGCTTATGGATCCCAGAGAATCGGCCCAACGTACCAGTTGCACAGCTAGTGGCGACGCCGACGCTCCGGCAAGAAATAATGGACTTGCTGTACGGGGTAAGATGTCTGGATATCTGGGGGTCACGAAAACGTCAGCACGTATTCTGCAACGTTTCACCTGGCTGGGGCTAAGACGGGACGTAACGAGGTGGTGTCGGTCGTGCGACCCTTGCACCCGAAAGAAGGAAGGCAGTCACAGGAGAACTCGGTTACAGCAGCAAGCCGTTGGAGCACCCATGGAGAGAATCGCGGTCGATTTTCTGGGACCACTACCCCGCACGGGGCTCGGGCATGAGTACATCCTGATAGTCTGTGATTACTTTACCAAGTGGACGGAGGCGTACGCCCTTAGCGACCAGACTGCACTGACCACGGCGGATTGCCTTGCCACAGAATGGTTTACGTGGTTCGGCATACCGCGGCAGCTCCACTCCGACCAGAGGCGCAACTTCGAGTCGGCCCTCTTCGGGGAGACCTGTAAACTGTTGGGGATCGAAAGGACGTGGACAACTTTCTACCACACTCAGTCCGACGGACCGAGGGTGCAAGAGATGCTGTCAAAGGTCGTTTGTGAACATCGCGACGACTGGGACGATCACCTTCCGTATGTGATGGCCGCCTATGGAGGAACAGTGCAGGAAAGCACGGGGTGTAGTCCCAATCTGATGATGTTCGGACGGGAGGTAGGACTTCCCGTCGACCTAATAATAGGGATACCCCCGGGAACTTCCCCGCCCGACTGCCCGGTGGCCTACGTTGAGTGGGTAAGGAGAGCCACCAAAGAGGCACATGCCTGCTCAACTCGGGCGAGCGGCGAAAAGGCAGAAAAGGAACTACGACCGGCGGGTGGTGCCGGCCAACTTTAACCCGGACACGTGGGTATGGTATTTCTACCCCCCCCCGCTGATGGAAAGTTCGGTAGGCCGTGGCAAGGTCCGTACCTGGTGGTGAAGGCCCGGGGAAACCTTAGGTGGATTCGGAGGGAGCAGCACGCTCGGCCAAAGGTTGTCACCCTAAACGAATTTAAATTGTACGGCAGGCGGAGTTGGAGGGCGATAATGCGCCGGCAAGATGGCCGCTCACCGAGGGTGAAGACGGAGAAGAGAACAAGAAACAGAGCAGACGGCGATCCCCACGGGGTGAGAGCGCCGTCGGCGACGTAGACGGCGATCACCACGAGGGTGAGATCGCCACTGACAGAGAAGACGGCGATCACCACGAGGGTGAGATCGCCGCCGACAGAGAAGACGGTGATCACCACGAGGGTGAGATCGCCGTCGGCGACGAAAAACGGCGATCACCACGAGGGGGAGGCCGCCGCCGACAGAGAAAACGGCGATCACCACGAGGGTGAGAGCGCCTTCGGCGACGTAGACGGCGATCACCACGAGGGTGAGTGAGGCCGCCGCCGACAGAGAAAACGGCGATCACCACGAGGGTGAGAGCGCCTTCGGCGACGTAGACGGCGATCACCACGAGGGTGAGATCGCCGCCGACAGAGAAGACGGCAATCCCCACGAAGGTGAGATCACCGTCGGCGACATAGACGGCGATCACCACGAGGGTGAGATCGCCGCCGACAGAGAAGACGGCGATCACCACGAGGGTGAGATTGCCGTCGGCGACGAAGACGGCGATTACCACGAGTGTGAGGCCGCCGCCGACAGAGAAAACGGCAACCACCACGAGGGTGAGGGCGCCGTCGGCAGTGAAGACGGTGATCACCGCGAGGGTGAGATCGCCGGCGGCGGAGAAGGAACTGGAGTAGGGAAAGAGCCGCATCCCATACGACGGCGACGACCGGCGGGGGAACTAGAAGCCTCCTACCGCCGGCGGGGCATCGCCCTGATGGAGCCGGGACTCAAAACGCGCTCCCAGCGTGTAGTGCGTCCACCGAAATATCTCGGCTTCACGCGGAGATGTAGGTGTGGGCGGCTACGGTAAAACGATTCGCCTACCTCAGAAAGTGGAGGCGTGACGACACGGGGAGGAGACGGCGGGGACCAAGACAGCGACGGCCGGGAAGACGCATCCGTCAAGTTTTTATCTAAGGGATGACCTAATCATCCCCTAGTTCGACGGACGGAGCGTCGGCGTTATCGGCGAGGAAATCCGGTGGCCGGGCAAGGGGGAGAAGGCGAGGAGACTCTCGCGTGGGGGGAAGTAGTAGAGGATGACGTGTATTCCAGCCAGAAATTGAGAGATTGCCCCAGGGGAGGGGTCACGCCCTCTGCTGGCGAGGTACGACATGCACACCCGAGGTCGTCTATGACGCACTATGCGCGACCACTCCCCCTTGCAATGAGGAACAGCATAATCCCTAATGCCGCAGGAAGAAAGTCGACAGACAGCCATGGCTATTGCCAAGGTCGAAAGTGCCGCACCGCTGGCGTCACGCTCCGCCGAGGGACGCGAATACTCACAGGGAGGAAAGAGAAATTCACATGGGCGACGGTAGCCCCGCTGAAAGGTCGGTCGACGGCGGTCGCCGTATAGTGACCGGCCGACGTCGGACGGCGACGTAAATTGGAGGGCCGATACGTCGCGGGAAGACCTAGCCGCCTACTCACAGGGAGGAAAGAGTAATTCGCAGGGGCGACGGTAGCGCCGCTGAAAAGTCGGCCAACGGCGGTCGGCGTAGAGTGACCGGCTGATGTCGGACGGCGACGTAAATCGGAGGGCCGATAAGTCGCGGGGAGACCTAGCCGCCTACTCACAGGGAGAAAAGAGAAATTCGCAGGGGCAACGGTAGCGCCGCTAAAAGGTCGGCCGACGGCGGTCGCCGTATAGTGTCGGTAGCGCCGCTAAAAGGTCGGCCGACGGCGGTCGCCGTATAGTGACCGGCCGACGTCGGACGGCGACGTAAATCGGAGAGCCGATACGTCGCGAGAAGACCTAGCCGCCTACTTACAGGGAGGAAACGAGAAACTCACAGGGGCGACGGTAGCGCCGCTGAAAGGTCGGCTGACGGCGGTCGCCGTATAGTGACCGGCCGACGTCGGACGGTGATGTAAATCAGGGGGCCGATACGTCGCGAGGAGACCTACCGGCCTGCCAAAACGGGGAGTCTGGTACCTCGGCGAGAGAAACTAGGACGATCAGAATGGGAGGAGTAAAAGAATCCCACGGCTAAAAGTGAAGCTAGAGCGTGCGAAACTCGCGTGGCGTAATACAATGGGTGATGACGTCAGACTGGTGACAGTGGTGGCTCGCCCAGCGTATAAAAAAGGAGAGGCAGGGAAGCAAACTCCTTAAACGCGTGCAGACACCGATAGTGAAGGACAGGCCGAACAGAAGTAAAAGAGAAAACAAAACGGAGAGATAATGATAGGAGAGATGGTAGAAGATTTGAAGGAGGGATACGTGTGGACGTCGAGCAGCGATGGCAGCAGCAGTAACAGCAGCAGCGCCGAAGAAGAGGGGGTGCCCACCCCGAGCCCCCGTCCTCGGACGCCGGGCTGCGATCCCACACCGAGGCCCGCCCAGGCGGCCCACCCCTCGCCCGCCGTATTGGCGTGGGTGAGTAAGGTGGTTGCCGAGGGTGGCGCCCCGGCAGGGGAAGAAGAGGCGGTTGCCACACCAAGGCGCGGAGGGTTGGCGGCCCTCCTTGCCCCTACCGCGCTCCCGGCGGCCAAAGAAGACGCCGTCCCCATACCGGGAGTGACGGCCGGGGAGGGCGCCGTTGACAAGATGGCTGTTGACACCCCGGAGGGTGCCGCCTGTCCCCCATCGTCTGCCGACGGCGGCCGACGGATGCCGCCATCCCCACCGCCGCGGCTAGCGACCAGCGATGGAGAGGCGACGGTCGACCCGGGGGTGGAGGCGGCGACCTTGCCGGCGAGCGAGGGCGAGGAGAGGAAGCGGCGGCGACGTCACCGAGAGCGGCGACAAGAAGCGTCCGCGCGGGAGGCTGCCGCGGCAACCGCGGTCGAGGAGGCCCGCCTCACCGAGGGGAGGAGAAAGAAATCCCTAAAGGCACGCTATCGCCGGGAGCGAGCGAGGGTGAGGGCGATGGCCAACGCTGCGGCGGCAGTGGCGCCGCCGTTATCAACACCGCCGGCGCAGTTCTCCACTCATGCGCTCCCGACCGTTGTGAGAGCGCCGCCGGCGGAGCCTGCCGACACCGCCGCCGACGGGTGGGGGCCCGGTGGACGCCCGGAGCGGCCCCTCTTCGCAGGTGCCCCACTCCAGGCGGGGGCCGTGGGGTCAGGTCGATGGGCCTGGTGTGTGGCCTGCGACCGCCCCACGCTGCAAGTGCGTGCCCACGACGCCGAGTTACACACGCGTCGTGGGCCGGTGGTGCACTGCCCTGTCGGCGGGTGCAACTTCTCCTGCCCCGCGTTTGTCAATCACCGGCTGGCCCGGCACCTCCGCGGTCGCCCCCACAAGCTGCGGGGCGACTTTCGGAGAGACCGCTGGGAGCGTGTACCCGAGGGGGAGAACCCGTCATTTCAGATAATCTGCATCGGAACATGCGCGGTCCCGCTGACATACCAACCACGGCACGGACGACGGCGACGACCCCCGCAACCACCTCCGGCGCCACTCCTCGACCGACGACCGAATACACGGCGGTCCGGCTTTGCTCGGTGGTCATGGAATGAGCCCCGCCGTGCCGACGCCCGGCGCAGACGTGGAGCAGCAGCGAGGGAGGCGGCGTCCGGCCCGTGGTGGCGCCCCACCATCCCGCCGACAACCCCGCGGCCCCGTCGGCGACCCCCGCACCATCCGGCACGACGATGGCGCCAATGGTCGTCGATGAAGATATCCGCCGGATGTCGGACGACACGCTACGCCGGGCCGACCTGCTCAACCGCCACCTACAGCTACGCGTCATGAAGACGGCCTGGCTACTGGAGGATGAAAAGGAGCGACGCAGAAAGCAGCTCCCGAGGACGTCCGGCTGAGCATCCAGGCCCACCCTACAGCGGACGACGGCAGCCGGAGAAAACCTCCTAGGGGTATAATCGAGGGGAGGGTGATTTAAATTACATTGTAAACTCGGGTGAGTGACGCAACTAGGGCCGACGCTGCTATTTTGGTAGTTCAAAGCGCGAAGGGGCTTACGCGCTAGAAGAAGTGGGGCGATGTAGCGGCAGCCTGATTTGTGCGCCCACTTGCGTCATGAACGATTGTGTTATTATTATTAAAATGGGGGGGTTCCTAAATAAATCGCGGGTAGATCGGGAGATCATGTATAGGTAATACCGGTTATAGGCGCGCATTATGTGGGGGGTTGGAAACATTAAAGGATAAGGAGGTAGACTTTCGCGAGGCTAAATAGTGCGCGCCGCGAGCGCGGCGGCTGTAACTGGTACGCGCCGGGTGCGTGCCGAGGCTAAATAGTGCGCGCCGAGGCTAAATGGTGCGCGCCGAGGCCAAATGGTGCGCGCCGCGAGCGCGGCGACTATAACTGGCACGCGCAGGGTGCGCACAGGTTACATGGGGCACCCGCCGAGGGCGGCGGTAGGAGTAGGCGGCACGGCAAGATATGGTAACCGGCTCGGGGCACGGTGAAGTAGCCACAATATGATTTTAGACACACTGCCTCAGCCGGAAGCCCGGCAAGGTCGCGCAATGACAGTAATCCATAGAAATAGATAGACAACAATGTTGTCTATCTATTTCTATGCAGTAATCTGTTTTAGAATGAAGCGCGTGACAATGTATCACTTGGACACGCGCAACGGCATTGTTTAGTAATTTAGTAGCTCAAAGTAACACTTTAATTGTGTTATTGCACGTGCTTGTATGTATTTTGGCGCGAAGCCTTGTCATTGGCTGAGAGATATTTCTCTTCAATCCGCGATGCGCAAAGTCAGTAACCAACGCGCAATATGTAATTTTCGGCGCGAAGCCTTGTCATTGGCTGAGAGATATGTCTCTTCAATCCGCGATGCGCAAAGTCAGTAACCAACGCGCAATATGTAATTTTCGGCGCGAAGCGTTATCATTGGTTAATAAGATGTGCATTTGAATCCGCGGGGGCTATATAAAGAGGGCTTTGCCACGATTTAGGACCGGACCGGCACTAAACATCGGCACTAAAGTTAGACAACAGTTAGGATAGCCAGCTAGGGACACGAAAGCGAGATGAGTTAGATAGAATGCAGAATTGAGGATAAACGTAACTATTTTACCGGGGGAAAGGAGTGGGAGCTAGAGCGGATATATACCCAGAGTGTATAAATTATATTGTATGTCACCTCCGCGAATGCGGACATGTTTTGTTCGAGAATAAAAGGCTCTCTATAAGCCACTAAACGTATTCCCGGCTTGTGTAGTATCGCTGTCGAGCTACATCCACGCACACTCACGCACTCCGCAAACCTGCCGAAGAGCCGGCGATAAACCGCCGGTAGGTACAGAAACACAACGCACAAGACAAGGTACTACATACGATCACGAAAACAGTGAGAATAACATACGCACACGTACACTCAACAACAACACGGCGAAGAGCAGCGAAGGAGACGAATCGCTACATTATATATATGGCTTGATTGCTCGATTCACATGAAAAGCCAGGTGTGTAACCCTCGGAACACATGCTAGAGTTAACCATAATCGAGATTCTATTTTCGGGAACCTGAGTAATTACGTTGGAAAATGTCCAAGAACTGCAGTATTTATATAAACGGAGAGAAAATCAATCGAGAATATACATGTGCGCATGTCTCATTCGACGTTCAGAAAGTAGAATTCCTACACACAATTATTAATTAAACGGCCAGCTTAATGAAAACAGCATGTGTGCAATAGTTATAGAATTAAACTAAATTTTTTCATTTATTGTTTACAGTGCGGGTGAACTAAATTCGAAGGATACTAGCAGCTATTCGCCGAATAACCAACTAATGTATCTCTTTTCACTTCGTAAAAGTGTTGTTTCCCCCCATCTGTTCTGGGGACGTGCCCCTTTGCACTTCCCTGCTTTGTGCTTGTCTGTTGGTGTGCTTGCCTGGTGTTGTGCTTGCTTGGTGTTGTGCTTGTCTGCTGATGTGCTAGCCTGGCTTTATGCTTGTCTGTTGGTGTGCTAGCCTGGTGTTGTGTTAGCCTGGTGTTGTGCTTGTATGTTGGTGTGCTTGCCTGGCTTCTTGCTTGTCTGCTGGTGTGCTAGCCTGGCTTTATGCTTGTCTGCTGGTGTGCTAGTTTGGTGTTGTGCTAACCTGGTGTTGTGCTTGTCTGGTGTTGTGCTTGTCTGGTGTTGTGCTTGTCTATTGGTGTGCTTGCCTGCTGGGGTGCTAGCCTGGCGTTGTGCTTGTCTGTTGGTATGCTTGCCTGGCTTCTTGCTTGTCGGCATATGTACTCATCTGTCTGTGTCCCTGTCTATGCTCTAACCTATCCGTGTGCTTGACTTCCGGCCTGCGTGTTGCCTGTCTATGTGCCTGGTTGTGAGTATGCTCTCTTGCTGGCTGGCCTTGCTGGCTGGCTGGCTGGCTGTCTGTGCCTTTGTCTGACGGTGTGCTTGGGTTTCTGTGTGCTTGTCTGTTTATGCGCTTGGCTGTGTGTAAGCTCCCCTGCTTTTCTGATTCACTGCCTGTGTGTTTGTAGGTCTGTGCTTCACTACTTACGTGCTCACCTGTTTTCGTATTTATCTTTATTGTACTACACAGACAGACACGCACGCACGTACATACGAGCGCACATACACACGCACGCAAACGCGCGTGCGCACAGACGCACACACACACGCACGCACACATGACGACCATTACTTCATTATAAATTTATGCGGTACTCCCCTATTAAACTATTCACGTGCCCTAATTTAACTATTTCTTCATCACACTGAAACCACCAGGACGCAAGATAACATTATGTAAATGGCGCTTTCGTTTGCAAACACATGTTTCACATTGAATTTCGGAATTGGTGCTTTTAGCTCTTCAACAGCTACTAGATTTTCTGTCACTAAGCAGTCGGCCAACAACCTAACCAGACAAAATTACACGCGAGAAGCGCGAGTGCCTCAACAGCTTCTTTTTTTTACTTTCACATCGATCGAAATGTTTTCCCTTCCTCTCGGGGTCACCCGCTGAAATCTATGGAAAAACAGCAAAAGCACTTAGATTAATATTTCCGGCGCGCTGGCTATCTCTTCAGAATCACTCGCGCTTCTCGCGTGTAATTTTGTCTGGTTAGGTTGTTGGCCGTCTGCTTAGTGACAGAAAATCTAGTAGCTGTTGAAGAGCTAGTTTCACCTACGACTGCCTTAACTTTTTTTACTGCATTTTACCGCTTCTGTTTGAGGTGGGGGTGGGGGCTTTATATCAGCAATACGAGAAGTGAAAATTTCGTAGAGGCGTCTCAACAGCTTCTTTTTTTTACTTTCACATCGATCGAAATGTTTTCCCTTCCTCTCGGGGTCACCCGCTGAAATCTACGGAAAAACAGCAAAAGCACTTAGATTAATATTTCCGGCGCGCTGGCTATCTCTTCAGAAACGCCTCTACGAAATTTTCACTTCTCGTATTGCTGATATAAAGCCCCCACCCCCACCTCAAACAGAAGCGGTAAAATGCAGTAAAAAAAGTTAAGGCAGTCGTAGGTGAAACTAGTGCTGACGTGGAGTCCGTTTGCGCATTTTTCGTAGAACCACGTTCGTTTGGTGAACCGTACCCGGTAGATGTCACACGTTGCTAATACCCCCGTCACACTGGACGGCGATCATCCGCGACCGTACGGCGACCAGAAAATGTACAAGGTCGCCGGCAAACGCGAACAC